AGGCTTCTGTAAGTTACTAAGTCATGAAGGTGGATCCCTTGTGAATGGGATTAATTGTCTTTGCTCTCTTTCCACTTTGTCAGCTGAAGTACTCTGTAATCTAGAAGAAGGCCTGCCGAGGGCCATGCAGGGACAAATGGCTTTAGAACTCATGGAATGCAGCTCAAGGGTTACCAAAACCACATGGTCGGCCTTGGTGTGGCATGGCCTTGAACTATGTGTCCTGAGGACTTTATGCTGTTATAGAGTTCTGCTCTGCTTGCTACTCTAACATCTCTCTTAATCTAAGAGTTATATAAAAACTTTTAAGAGGGCTTCCAGTCCCTCACTGGGCAGTATCTCTGGCATTCACAATATTAATGTTTGATCTTTTTCAGGCATTGCTGCTGAAGCAGATTATGATTCTAGCACCACCCTAGTAGAGAAGAATGTAAAGAGGTAGATTGTCAACAGTGACCACCGCCCTTAGAAAACATTTGGAAAAATAAAGTTGTTAGTGAAGCTAGATTGAGATGTTTTCACTACTGGCTCTGATATAAAAAATCTTAGGGAACAATATGAAGTTCAGAAAGACACACTCTTACTAGTTAAGCTAGGGACCTTCTATGGTCAGGGAGCAAGAACAATGGCCGCACTGGCTGACGTGACTCACTGAGGCTGGACTGGTGATAACTGATAAGAATTGTTGATGAGTAGATGTGTATTTTGAGGGTTTAAGCCAGATATGACTGATTTTTATATAAAAATTTAGATTTGTGATTCTTTTAAGATTTTTACAAGATTAGTTTTAAAGATAAATAATAAAATAACTTAGTCCTTTCTTTGTAGCTGCAAACTGCTGCCTGCCAGTAAGAGAAACTGGCTGAGAAAACTACCTTGCTTGCTTACACTTTGTTAATAACAAGTTGCTTGATTATGAATGTATGTGGGTTTTAAAGAATAACTGTACTATGTAATGTTATTTCTTGTTTATTTTTGGGGGTTTTTTTGGGTTTTTTTTTTAAAGATTTATTTATTTTATATACATGAGCACACTGTGGCTGTCTTCAGACACACCAGAAGAGGGCATCAGATCCCATTACAGATGGTTATTAGCCACCATGTGGTTGCTGAGAATTGAACTCAGGACCTCTGGAAGAGAAACTGGTGTTCTTAACCATTGAGCCATCTCTCCAGCCCATGTTATTTCTTGTAAAGGTATGGGAAAACACATTGTTTTTCATAATCATCCACTAGAAGAAAACTAACACATAATCACATTATAATTGTATACTGCTTGAAAGATTTTGTGGGATATATAAGCTATGAAAGAAAGAATAAAGTATGGTGTGGTCAGAACATTGTTTCTCCCATCCATCAACTCTGTGTGTATGTATAAAATTTGTATGAATGAGGATTAGAACACTGTTCCTTCCATACACCAATTGTGTGTGTTTATGTATGTATATGTGGAATACTTGGAGTCTGTTTGCTAGAGCTTTGCTCTAACCATTCTATGTGTCAATATGTATATGTCTATCTATAGGTTTGTATACATGTATTATGTGCATATGTATATATGCATGTATATTTGTGTGCATAAATTTATTGGATTCTGCTTTTTGTCTCATCCATTCAGCGTGTATGTGTGTGTGTGTGTGTGTGTGTGTGTGTGTATGTGTATGTGTATGTGTATGTATAGATGAAAATATTCTATTTCCTTCTTGCCGGCCCCAAGGAGTTAAAAGATGTCATAGTTTTTCCACTGGCTTTTCCACTGGCCACAGAGAGTGCCAGCCCCAGTAAATTAAGCTTTGTTTCCTCAGATAAAAAGTCTGCTAAGTAGCTTCTCTAATCACTGGCTGCCTCTGGCAGCAGCTCATGTAGGTACCTGGATCCACCCCAGTTAGCATCTCTAAGCACTGACCACCAATGGCTGCCTGCCTCAGTTTACCCACCACATGGATGCCAAAGCCATTCATTGGCAGAGGACCCCAGCAGAACCCAATGATGCTAGTGGCCTGAGCTCATACTTTTAGGCTAAAAAAAAAAAAAAAAAAATCACAGCAAGTACATCTATTATCTACAGGCTGTCCCAAAGTGCAGTCACTCAGTCTCCTTAATAAAAAAGTTCCATGTCAGTTCTGTGAAGAACCAAATGCTGGGAGGGCCTAGAAAAGCAAGTTTCTTCACTGTGGGACTTCCTGAAGCCTTTAGAAAGATAACGTGCATCCTAAATCTCTGAGACGGAGCCAGTGAGATGGTCCATTGAGTAAAGACAGTTCCATCACCCAAGTTAGATCCCTGGGACCCACTGGCCAGAGAGAACCAACTCCCTCAAATCAAGTCATCCTCTGACCTACACATGTGACAAGTGCCTGAGACCCATGTGCACACACACACATGCACACACACAGGCACACAATAAATGTAACTTAATTTTTTTAAGGCAAATACATTCTTTAAACAAACACACTTCTAATAGAAAAAAAAAGGCAGTTTCTCAAATACTTGATCACAGGGGCTTATGGCATCTCACACTGCCATCCAGAATGAGCACTCCTGCTGACCAAATAGCCACGCCCAATCCCTAACCTGCTGTTTACTAACAGTCCATGGCTGTGTTTGGGCAGCAATGTAGTCCTCTCTAGAGGGCATATTATGCCAAGTTCTATGGCAGTCCTGGTGATCTTATCTCTCTGTGAAGCACTCACTCTGTGCCCCTTCTAACAAGTGATGGTCATGACCATGTACCCAGTACCAACCAGGAAAACAGACTCTACCCTTTACTCCCAAATCAAAGCCCACCATCTTCCTAACTTGCAAGGAATACTGCCTCTTAGGGACCCTCCTGTGGTTCAGGAAAAGAGGAAGAACAGAGGTACTAGAGAAGATTCCTCATCATAGACAAGATATTCTTTACTGCATGTGAGTCACCAGGGAAAGACTGTAGTGACTGCAAACATTCTGACATAAACTCAAGTCCACCTCCACCACTGAACAAGAGCACTGTCTTCCACTGTCCACAAAGTAGAACAACAAAGTGCTGTTTGACTTCACTTTGAGTCATTGACTGAAAGGTGGCACCCACCCACAAACAGAGTTAGGCACTGTGGAGGCTTATAGCCAACTTTCCAGTCAGAACAGCAAACACTCAGGTTAGCTGTTCAACACAGTTTGTTCTTTCTTTTTTTTTTTTTTAACTTATTTATTTTACATCCTGACCTCAGTTTCCCCCTCCTTCCTCTCCTACAAATTCTTCTCTCCTTTCCCCCATACATCCACTCCTCCTCCATTTCTCTTCAGAAAAGGGGAAGCCTCTCATGGATATCAACCAGCCCTGGTATATCAAGCTGCAGTAAGACAAGGCACATCCTCTCCTATCGAGGCTAGACAAGGCAGCCCAGTAGGATTAAGCCCAGTTCCTAACAGAGCTGATGAGCAATCATGAACTGTCAAGTTCTACTCTGTTTCATTCGGGGGAACATTGGAGATCCACTTTTCCATACCCACAATCCAGATTGTAGAGAACTCCTGAATTACCCCACAGGAAAAAAAAAAAATGAGGTCTCTGTTTCTTTCCAGAGAAATGAAAAGATAAATAGTGTGATGATTTGTATATGCTGGGACCAGGTAATGGCACTATTAGAAGGTGTGACCCTGTGGGGGTAGGTGTGTCACTGTGGGTGTGAGCTTTAAGACCCGACTCTCATCCTAGCTGCCTGGAAACCAGTATTCTGTCAGCAGCCTTCAGATGAAGATGTAGAACTCTCAGCTCCTGCTGCACCCTGACTGCCTAGATGCTGCCATGTTCCCACCTTGATGATAATGGACTGAACCTCTGAATCTGTAAGCCAGCCCCAATTAAATGTTGTCCTCATAAGAGTTGCCTTGGTCATGGTGTCTGTTCACAGCAGTAAAACTCTAACTAAGGCAAATAGAGACAGAAACTTCAGTGACAGTAAGACTGTGGAGGAAGAGGGGAGTTAAATACTATTCACTGAGTGCATACATGCCTGGCAACATGCGGGATGTTTTATGAGCATAATTAGACCCAATCCAACCCTGTGGAAAATCATTATATAACCACTGCCAGTTTACAGATGAGGAGAACAAGGCTCCGCGGGTTAAGGAACATTCACAAAATCAACAGCTGGTGAAAAGCAGGCTGAGATCTGAACCTAAGTATAGAGACCTCTGAAGCCATCATTTCTGTTGACATCTTGACACACCCCTGCCTCTTCATGCTTCCACCTCTCAGTATTACTATACCTCAGTCCTGTGAGACGTCGTACTCAAAGTACACATGCATCTGTAGGCATGTGTGGCTTTACAAATGTAAGCCAGCAGCATCTTGTTTTCTCTGTCACCACCAGAATTAAAGCAATTAGAAAAATTTTAAGAAACAACAAATTTCAACAATACAAATGAAAGGCCTAAAGAAGCAATAATTTTGTTTTTACTCCTAGCTATGACCCTATGGTTGACAATGTATTTAAATTATATAACTTTAAATAAGAAAAGACATCATTAGAATGTTGTCATGTACTTAAGATGTCACAAGTCTCTCTAATTACATATAACTTACCATCTGCTGACTTTTAAAAAAAATTTTTTTAATTTTATTTGTATGGGTGTTTTGTCTACATTATATGTGTACCATGTACGTGCCTGGTGTCTGCAAGAAGAGGGCTTGGCTCCCTGGCACTGGAATTACAGATGGTGTGAGTCACCTTGTGTGTGCTAGAAATCCACCTCAGTTCCAGAAGAACACAAAGTACTCTTAACCATTGTGCCATCTCTGCAGCCTCTTTCTGCTGACTTCCTTACTAAGATGTAAAGTCTAGATACTCTCAAGAATTAAAAACAGAATCTCCCTGGAACTACTCTGCCTGCCCATCTGTTCCTCTGCCAGCATTGAAAGATCTGAGGTTTCTTTATTCTTACTAAGGAAATTGTGTTTCCTCATGTACATTCAGGAAAAAAAACAAAAAACAAAAAGCCATGGGAAGGCTGCCCACCTCAGAAAAGAATTCATCCATGAAGGCTGTGTTGTCAATAGCAATCTCAACCTCGTCCGTGTCATCATCCTGTGTCAGCTGCTTCTGCAAGAGACCAGAACAGGCCAGATTGAGGATAAAACACAATCAACAGCCAATGAAATTGAAGGTGTTACATTTAAGCACGTGCACAAACACAGATTTCTTTAAAATGAATAGAAATTTAGTGTTGTAATACTCTGGAGTTGCCTAATTAAATCCAAGCTCTACCTCCTGACTCTGTGCGAGGGAAGAAGGAATAAACAAGTTACTACCCAGCTTGTCAGACCTGGGATACCTTAACTGTCAAAAGCTAAAAGCACTACTTCATAGAGTTAGTAAACAAATAAATGAAATAATCTGGGTGGTGGTAGTGTATGTTTTTAATCCCAAGCACTTGGCAGGCAGACAGGTAGATCTCTGAGTTTGAGGCCAGCCTGGTTTACAAAGCAACTTCCAGACAACTAGGGCTACACAGAGAAACCCTGATTGATAGATAGATAGATAGATAGATAGATAGATAGATAGATAGATAGATAGATAGATA